CTAGTTTATATGTGATTATCACAAACGACATTTCATGTGAAATAAAGATTTTGCAGTTGTGAATATACTGTAGGAGCAGCTAACATAATGTATAAGTGTAGCTGAATGATGTAAGGATAGTTAATAATAATAATAAACTAAATAAGGATAATAGTGCATAGTGACAGTAGTGAAACATTTTACTTTTTTATTTTCCAGAAATCATCCATCCATTCATTCATTCTTCTGCTTAGTCCTTGTCAGGGGGCCAATGCCTAATGCAACAGCAGTCTATGGAGGCTGGGTACACCTGGACAGGTCACTAGTCTGTGGCAGAGCAGCACAGAGACACACAAAGACACACAACCATACACACACACTCACACCTAAGGACAATTTAGTGAAGCCATTTAACATCTGTCAGGGTGTGTGTTTCCTGGACGGGGCCGCCTGTGGAGCTGGTTGCATTTTGGTTGCATTTTGTTTCTCTGCTTCTTGTTCTATGTCTGCTTCTGTCTCCTTGAACCTCTGTCGGCCTCGGCAGATGTGCTGCTCACACTGAGCCTGGTTGTGCTGGAGGTTTCTTCCTGTTAAAAGAGAGTTTTCCCCTTCACTGTGACTACAAGTTTTCTTGTTGTCAGGGATTGCCTCGAGTCAATGAGCTGATGCAATCAACTGGTTTTCCTTAGATTGGAAACTTACAATCAATTTGACTGTATGATCTGGTTGAATTATAAAGTACCTTGAGATGACACATGTTGTGAATTGGTGCTGTATAAAAAAGTGAACTGAATTTAATTAACTTGTTTATTTGCAGCAAGCAATGTCCCTTGTTGGGCCTTTAACATCACTGTTTTTTGTTGCATTTTTTGTACTTAATATCTCAAGATATAGGCTGATTAATTGTGTCCTAATCTAATCGGATATTTGCGGGCTTCTTTACTTACTAGGCTCTCAGATGCACTGTTTTAATTTATACAAATGAGGGCTTTATGTTTACAATATTTAAAAAAGAAATTAATTTACATCTTACTTCTCTTTGAGAGATGCCACCAAAGGCTTAGTTGCTTTGTTTAACCAGCCAGAAGAAGTTGGATTTTCTACAGACTTTTTTATGTCTATGCACCAGAAGCAAAAATATAAAGAATTAGAAAATAAAATAAAATGATGTATGATTACAATAAAATTGCAATCATACTTTTTTCTTGGAACCATATATGTACTTTTGTACTTGACAGTTGCAGTCTGCTGAACATATAACATAATACAAAAAAGGATAGAGTACAACCACAAAGAAGCATTCTCTCTGTGTGTCTCTCAGCTTGTTTAGTAACTTTTTAACTTATAACGAATGCAAAAGTGTTGCACCNAGTAACTTTTTAACTTATAACGAATGCAAAAGTGTTGCACCGAAGATTGTCTTATTCATAGTTCCCTCTTTCATTTCCAATAAAACATTTCCATGTCATGTCACACATATTAGCTATGATAAGGTATGAGACAGCACTTTATAGACCAAAAGTACAAAAGAGGAATTAAAAATATTTTTGTTTTAAAGCTAGCTTATATGTGATTATCACAAACGACATTTCATGTGAAATAAAAATTTTGCAGTTGTGAATATACTGTAGGAGCAGCTAACATAATGTATAAGTGTAGCTGATTGATGTAGGGATAGTTAATAATAATAATAATAAACTAAATAAGGATAATAGTGCATAGTGACGGTAGTGAAACATTTTACTTTTTTATTTTCCAGAAATCATCCATCCATTCATTCATTCTTTCGCTTTGTCCTTGTCAGGGGGCCAATGCCTAACGCAACAGCAGTCTATGGAGGCGGGGTACACCTGGACAGGTCACTAGTCTGTCACAGAGCAGCACAGAGACACACAAAGACACACAACCATACACACACACTCACACCTAAGGACAATTTAGTGAAGCCAATTAACCTAACTGTCATGTTTTTGGACATGGGGAGGAAGATGGCGTACTCAGAAAAACCCACGCATGCACGCATGAGAAAGATGAATCAAACCAAGATCCTTCTTGCAGCGTGGCACCAGCACTACCCACTGTAACACCATGCAGCCTTTTCCCAGAAACCATCCATCAATAATTTTTATCTGTAGTGATAACAATAAACTATAAATCCTAGTCTTTCCGCTGTGACTGGTGCACTATTCAGGTTGTATTTTGAAAACTAATGTATGTAAATAATTTGACAAAAAGAAAAGAGAATGGAATTTTCTTTCTATACAATTTACTTTTGTGTGCAGACAACACCATGTTTGTGGGCCTCATCAGAGACGACAATGACCAGGACTACAGAGAGGAGGTAAACAGCTGTTGGACTGGTGCAGAGACAACAACCTGATTCTGAATGAGAAGAAGACGAAGGAGATCATCGTAGACTTAAGGAAGAACCGGCCTAACCATGCTCCACTGCTCATCAACAGCACAGCAGTAGAGGTGGTCAGCATTACCAAATTACTCGTGGTGCACATCACGGACACCCTCACCTGGACTGTCAAAAACCATCTCACTGATCAAAAGGGCATAAAAGCACATGTACTTCCTGTGGAGGATGGAGAGAGCCCACCTACCCCTACCCATCCTCAAGACCTTCTACAGAGGACCATAGAGAGCGTTCTGACCAGCTTTCTTACTCTGTGGTGTGAAGGCTGCAATATCTCAGACTGGAAAAAAGTGGGAAGAGTGGTGAGAACTACTGCAGAGAATATCATTAGGGCTCATTTTCCCTCCCTAAAAGATATTTTATTCCAGCACTGCATGTCACTAGTCCGTAACATCATCAATGACCCCTCTCACCCCCACCATGGACTGTTCTCCTTGCTGCCCTCTGGGAAGACGCGTCTTTCAATGCCGGTACAACAGATTAAGGAACAGCTTCTTCCTCACCACAATCACACATCTGGACTGTTCTGAAAACTATTAATCATGTTACTGACTCCGCATCAGACTGATAACACTAATTCAAAACTCTGCATATTTGCACCATACAAATTTAATTCTCTGAACTTCCATATGTATTCCAATGCATTTTTTGTACAATGTTTTTTTTCTCCCAACACTGTTTACATTTGAACACTGCGGCACTTTAAGAAATGGAAATTTTATGAAAGCTGTACAAAACTAAATTTTGTAAGTTTTTGTACTTTGTATACAAAATAACAATAAAAGTTGGCTAGGTCTATGTCTAAGTCATATATAGCTAATGCGCTAGGTATCAAATATAAAAGCACATTAAATGCACATTAAATGCACATTAAACAGTAATTGCACATACAAATATGGCCTTAATAGTGTCATATTGTAGAGTCTAATGGCACTAGGGGTGAGTGATCTGTGGTAGCACTCCTTTTTACAAACAGGGTGTATAAGTCTTTCACTAAAGGAGCTGCTCAGCTCCTTTACAGTCTGGTGCAGGGGGGGAGAGGTGTTGTCCATGGTCGATGTAAGCTTTGACAACATCCTCCTCTCAGACACTTCCAGTCCAGAGCACAGCCTGGGACAGAAGTGGCCATTCTCACCAGTTCTTTCAGTCTCTTTCTGTCCCACTTGTGCTGCCAGGGGCCCAGACGACAGCGTAGAGGAGGGCCGATGCCACCACAGAGTCATGGAAGGTTTTGAGCAGGGGCCTGCTCACTCCAAAGGACCTCAACCTCCTCAGGAAGTGGAGGCAATTCTGGCCCTTCTTATACAGGGTGTTGGAGTTATGAGTCCAGTCCAGCTTATCATTGACCTGAAAACCCAGGTATTTGAAACTCTCAACAGTTTCTATGTCCTGCTCCTGAATGTTCCGGGGGAGTGATGGGGGAGTCTTCTCCTGAAGTCCAACACCATTCCATGGTCTTACTTGTGTTAAGGCACAGGTGGTTCTTCTCACACCAGTCCATAAACTTCATTGATACTCCAGATTGTTCCCCTTAGAAACAAAACCAAAATTGGTAGAGTCATTTGAAAATTTCTGGAGATGGCATCTGCCAGTATTGTAGGAGAAGTCCGAGATGTAGAGTGTGAAGAGGAATGGAGAGACAAAATGGTGACCTGGGGGGCCGGGGTGCTGCAGACAGCTGTGACTGACAGCTGTGCTGCTGCACCTACTGAGGGCGTTCAGTGAGGTAGTTGATGGTCCAGGCAGCAAGATGTCTGTCCACTCCAACGTCCTCCAGCTTCCCCATCAGCAGTGCTGGTCTGATGGTATTGAAAGCACTGGAAAAGTAAAAGAACATGACTCTCACTGTTGTACCGGTGGTCTCCAGGTGGGTGAGTGCCCGCTGCAGCATTGCATCCTCCACTCCGATGTCAGGTCGGTAAGCAAACTGCAGTGGATCCAGGGTGGGGTTCACCACGGTGCGTAGGTGAGCTAGGAAGAGTCGCTTCATGGTCTTCATCAGGTGGGAGGGTCAGGGCAACTGGTCTAAAGTGGGCCGGTTCCTTGGCGTGCATCGTTTTGGGAACCGGTACCACACAGGATGTCCTCCAGAAAGTGGAATACCTCCCAGAAGTGTTAGGTTTCCAGAGCTGGGTGGATTGGCTGTGTGTCTTTTCCCTTTTCTCTCAAAGGGTGGCAGGCTACTTGAGTCCAGCTGGATTCCATTACCTCAATCTGTGGTGGTCTTTAAGAAGGAGCAGTCTCCCTCAAGCAGAGAAAGCTGGAGCAATTTAAGCGTTGAGTTTTCTCCCTCCTGTTGGTTCTTCTGTCTAAAACCTGATTGTACTTCTGTGCTTCAGGATCCACTTTGGAAAAGACTCTTGTCTAATCTACTTCCCCCGAGGCTTCTGTCCTGCTCCTTCCTCAGGCTCACCAATATTGGCCTTCATATCCCCTGGCTCAAACCTGTCTAACCTCACCTCCTAACAACCTGAAAGACAGTGCCTTCACTCTCAAACCCCAACATCTACTTCCAACCAGCAAAGACCAGGCTTCGTGGACTCCTATTCACTGTAAGCTGACTTAAATTGCTTTAAACAACTTTCCATAATCCATCCATCCCCAATTAAACAACTGGCAGCTTTCTTTATTACGTATTTCTGTCTACTTGATGCCCATGATTTTTGACATCCTTCAAATCACAACGAACGGCTGCTTATATTTGATTAATTGTTTTAAAAGTTGTATCATGTACATGTGGTGTCTCATTGGTAGAATTCAGAAAGAAGAACACTTGAAAACGATTCACACAATTTTGTCTTCCGGAGGGGGGAAACATTTACTGACAATTCCAAATACCTACAGCTGTCTTAAACACTTCATAAGTTCAGCGCAACATCATGAGTCAGTTTTTCCCCCAAAATTGCAGACCCATAAAAAAGCTGTATTTATACCCTAGCTCTAAGTGCTATTTCCAAATCTTGCTAGTGTGTGGCTCTGATTTCCTAAGTGTGTATGTGCGCAACTAAATGCTATGTCGAAATCTTAGTGTGTGTGTGTGTTGTTGCCAGTTTTGTGTGTTATTTTTACAGGAAAGAGATTTTTCCTGTTTTTGCCAAGATCTCTTGGCTCAAAATCCTACGTGAAGATCACCAGTTAAGATCTTGTTTTTTCCAAGATTTGTACGTGACCCCTGCTTTCCATTGTTTCTGTGTGCTAATGTTCAAACACCCTGACCACTGTATTCTCTGTTTGTGTTGCTAATTATGTATTAGGCTTTGAAATATGTTTACACAGTGTGAAAGTTATATAGCACCACTAAAAATATTAAAACACACAAAGACCAAACTGTTTCAATGCTTCAAAAGATTTATTTTGCAATAGAAATAGATAAGGTTTATTAGAGCAAAAAGCATTCTCTCTTTAAGACATTCAGTGGACTCTTTCGAAGCGGACCAGAGAGACAATCCACTCCCAGAATCTTGTGGCTTTTTTCAATCTTTGGCATTACAGCAGACGGGGTGAACATGAGTACAATTGATTAGACATCAAGGTTGGGATGTTTGTTTAATCCATAGTGCAGACAGATGGTAATCTTTTAAGGCAACTGTAATCTACTTCACATCTGCAAGCTGTAGGAAAAACAAGTAAAATTGGCAAAGGCAATACATTTTCACCATAATACGACCTGATTAAAGACAGAGAGAACTACATTGCTTTTAGCCAGCTAGACATACATTATACATACTAAATGTTTGAATGTGTTAGCAATGCCTTACAATGCTACAGTACACGGACCAGAGAGATAATCCACTCCCAGAATCTTGTGGCTTTTTTTCAATCTTTGGCATTACAGGAGATGGGGTTAACATGAGTACAATTGATTAGACATCAAGGTTGGGATGTTTGTTTAATCCATAATGCAGACAGATGGTAATCTTTAAGGCAACTGTAATCTACTGAACATCTGCAAGCTGTAGGAAAAACAAGTAAAATTGGCGAAGACAATACATTTTCACCATAATACGACCTGATTAAAGACAGAGAGAACTACATTGCTTTTAGCCAGCTAGACATACATTGTACATACTAAATGTTTGACTGTGTTAGCAATGCTTTACAATGCTACAGTACACTACATTAAACTAAAAACATTACACTAGCATTACACTACATTATGTAGTGTACTTACACTACACTACATTACCTAAATGGTTAATTGCAAGGCAGTTATAACTCCTGGTTCGTTTAGGCCTTGCTGGGTCCTTCTTCTTCTTCCTGCTCTTCTTGTCCTTCTTCTTCTTCTTCTTTTTCTTCTTGTCCTTCTTCTGCTTCTTCCTCTCCTCCATGATCTGCTTCTTCATCTTCTAAAAAGATTAAGTATTTAGGGGTAACTTATATTCAAGATCAGTTACTATAACTATAATAAGCTAAATAAACAAACCATCTAAAGCCCCTTCCTCCTCATCAAATTCATCTTCTAGATCTGGAAAACAAAAACACAGAGATTTACACTTTTATATTTTAGTACAAAGATTGATGTTTATAAAGGAATTGTAGGTGACCAGCCAAGTACCAGTCAAGGACCCATCTAGAAAAGTTGGGAAATTTTGAATGGCTGCTACTGTAGAAAGCAGGATGCTGCCTATAGCGTGGCACTTTTATGTTGTTCTTTGGTTTTCACAAACATGACTGGCTGTGATGCTGACTTGGTTACTATTACTTTGGTGTAATAACTTAGTATAATTTGTATATATCTTTTGAAATAATGTTTAAGATGAAAAGGTTGACAATTTCAATAATCACTCTATCAGGAATGGCGTACGATTCCCTTTCCCTGGGTTTTATTGATGACATCAGTATTTCCTTTTTATTTTACAGTTACATTTCTGAAGTCGTAGATTTCTAACAATGAAATATGGTGCGCTTTCACATTTTGCCTTGTTTACCCAACAAACTCTATGATCGACTGCACAATTTAAGTACACCTGTGGCAACACTGATTAGTTGAATTTAGTTTGAATAGGTAACATTAAGTAAACAAGGCATCCTTTTGTTGAAACCAAGTAATAGTGCCTGGACATAATGTACCTCAGTTGAATCGGAACTGTATCCAAATCTGGCTTCTCTGAGTGAGTTTATTATATTTTCCACATGCTAATCAAATTTCAATTTCTAAATCAATCAATAAATAAATTAATAACTAAATAAATTCAAATTTCACCTTCCACAGCAGTTTCCTCATTTTCAGGGTCTACTGTAGAACACACAAAGCTAGGTCTGTCTGTCTGTCTGTCTCTCTGCATGTCTGCTGTCTGTCTGCCTGCCTGCCTCCTTGTCTGTCTGTCTGTCTGCCTGTCTTTACATGATTTATATCACTGTGTGCTCACCTTTAAAAAAAAACTCACCTTCATGTTCATCCTCAGCCTCTGTGGAAGTTAAACAGATTCATTTTAGGCGTATTTTACGTACTGAACTGTTCTATTTCATATTTTGAGTTGGAGACTGTAGAGACAAGTTCAAGTCTAATGAATAATTACTGGAGTTAGTTCACACAAGTATCTGTAGTTACTGGATTAGTAATGATTATTCAGGATAGACTCACCTGCAGAAACTCCCTCCTCAGTTTCAGTTTCATTCTTGGCATCTATGGATCATAAATAATTATATTATAGGTGAATTTTGTTCACTAACCTCCTCCAACTGGTTGCTGCTCTGTTTTTTTCATAAAACAAAAGTTTTTAACTTTAGAAAAACAACTTATGGCTTAATCACAAATTAGCACAAAGCTGATATGGCACACCTTTGGAAACAGCCTCCTCAGTCCTAGTTTCATTTTTGGCATCTGTGGGGGATAAAAAAATATTTTATAGGTGGATTTTATTCACTAACCTACTCTAACTGATTGCAATGTTTGCCTTAATCCCAAATTAGCACAAAGTTGATATGGCTCACCTTTGGAAACAGCCTCCTTAGTCCCAGTTTCATTCTTGGCATCTGTGGAGGATAAATACTGTGTTATTGTAGAGTTACTTCTCAGAATCAGTTCTTCTATCTGGTTACAGCTAACCATTTGGTTTGTCTTAAGCACTCAAGAGAAACTACAGCTATTTAAATATGTTCCTCCTAACTGGTTTAAGTTGGTATATTTGGTTCATTTGACTCAATCACATTAGACACCTGAAACTTTAATGTGTCACAATATCAGCCATATTAAACTCATCTGAAATAGGAAATGTGCCACGGCTGAAAAGGTAGCACCTAAGGGCTCATATGCATAAAAAAACTTAAGACTACGCTCTTAATTAATTCACTTCAAAATGTCTTTAATTATATGTTTTCTCTTAGAAGATTTACCATGCAGAGAGTAAATTTATTCAGAGAGCAACCTTAAGGGAGCCCCTTAAGAGGAAAAAATGTTCGAATTAGTGAGGAAGATTTTTAGTAAGCATAAAACTGGATTAAGCAGAGAAGATGGTGGAAATAGAGCTGTCTGGCTGGACCGCCGCCGGTAAAATACAATTAGTTATATAAAGACAAAAATTTACTTTTTTATCTCCATAGTTCAAGATGTATTGTACAGTATCTGTAAAGTAGCTTGAGATAATATGTGTTGTGAATTGGTGCAATATAAGTAAGCTGAATTGAATAAAAAAAATAAATAAATGGAAAAGTGTTGAATAATCATGAGAACAATCTATATAATACAAAAAAAAAACACAATTTTGATAGTATTATATACAGTTTGAGCTATAGCTGAGTACAAAGATTGAAAATATCCTACAGTGTATTACTGCTCTAAGACAGACATTTCTGTCAAGTCTTCATTAAAATAACTCTATGCAACTATATGAATTACTCTTATGCTCTGGTTCCTTGGCAGACATTTTTAGGCTAAGGCAGAATCTCCCCACAAAACAATCTTGGTGAACACTGACCATGCTGTCCTCTACCTCAATACAGTAAAATACCTTTAGGATATTATTTAGTAGAAAAAATATACCTTTAAAT